TTTATTTTTTATTCAAATAATAGTCCAAGCTCTGGATTATAACATAATGTGCTGCCATACGAGATAATGGGGCACGCACGCAAGTGGAGGGCATCTGATGAGCATGGAGTGCTGTGCATATGATAATAATACTAATTAAAGTAATTTACTGCCGTGTGTTAATCCACTGCTGGATGGAGGGCGTCCTTCCGCTTTGCCAGCTACGGTGGTCCAACTTTAGTTCAACATTGGACCAACGTTCGACCAACGTTCGACCAACGTTGGACAAACGTTGGGGCAGAGTTGGACAAAGCCGCACCTCCGATGAGCACGGGTGGGTACGTACGGTACGAAAGAAGTTCAAAATACATACATAGACACAGAAGACGTAGGCAAAATAGACTCCGCTAGAGGGAGGTGATGGGGGGACACGTGCACACCATCCAATAATTGTACTGCTCAGTCAGCATCATCAGCATCGACAGTCAGCGGCCAATCCACGGCTACATTAAGACATTCAAGTTCTTCGAAGTTCGTATTGAATTATGCTTCTATATACCGGTCAGTGTGTGTTGATGCGGTGGTGCGTGTGTGTGTGTGTGTGGAGGTGGTGCAGGAGCGGTAGTGTAGCAGTTAGCGCGCTGCACTACGACACGAGTTAGATTCCTACCCATGGCTACCACCAGGGTCAGCACAACAAAGTCTTTTGGGGCAAGTGCTGTTAGCGAGCACCTTTGAAGGTCGGCAAGGCACACGAGAGGGTGGGTGACCAGTACCACGCCGGGCCGCCTTTGTCTCTTTGGTGGCGATATTTACACACTGCACCAGGTACTCATTTAAGGCTGAGGCGACCTAGGGGAGGGCCAGGACCTGTTCAGATAATCGTCACTGGTGATGACCATGAGCGGGAATTGAACTGCGGGTCGCCGGGTTCTTAGCGCAGCGCGCTAAGCGTTGCGTCACCGCTCCCCACATTATGCTCAACACAACAACAACAAAGATTCCCCGCATAGCCTTCACAGGCTGTTGAGGGCAAGTGCTGCGCGCGCGCACACACACACTTGGGCCGGTTCAGATATCACCTGCCAATCACCTGAAGCCATTGCCACGGATCGAACTCTGCATAGCGGGGTTGTGCACAAAGCACAGCGCGCCTTACCCACCGCGCCCTCCGGCCCCCGCCACCCCACGCTATACTGCACCGCTGTTAGCGAGCACCTTGCACACGACGGTCCAACACGCACGCTCCCCCGGGTAAGTGGCGTTGAAGCGGCTAATTTTTGTGAAACCATCAACATCCCCGGCGCGCGCATTGTCACGCGGCTACTTAGCGGGAATCTCGCGGAGCGCAGCGCTTGGCCTTGCCACCGTCATCGACGCGAGAAGTGGAGGCCCCGTGTGCTCCGTCGCACAAAAGCTCCTGGATTTCGCTCTATTTGCATAGACTATCCCTTGCTGTGGCAGTGGTTGGTGTGGAGGGAGGGGGGTGAGAGAGAGAGAGGGCGAGCGAGAGCGTGTAAGAGAGCGCGAGAGAGAGAGAGAGAAATAATGTATTTTTTTTTCCACAAGGATTCATAATGCGCGTGCATTGTTTTGCCTGCCGTGCAGCTCTCTCGCCTCGTGTAATGAGAGGGGCTTTCTGGAGGGTTCAGGAGTGGGCTCAACATTTCGCTCCAGGCCCACTCACCGCAGCCTCACGCGGCGACTTCCCGGAGCCTCCTGCATGAGCGGTGATCGACGCACTTCGTGTTTCCTCCGTCGCTTCGTTTCGCGCGACGTCGCGGTAGCTCGCGAGCGCAATCCGCGCGCGTTCAAGCGGCCCTTAGATGCAACGGGACGGGGCGGTCACGGAGGAAGTTGAATGAGATAAAAACGACAACAACAAAAATCCTTGTTTGCACCGGGAGGACGATGTTTATACTTCTGCTGCTGCGTGCATGCTTGCACGCGCTCCTCGCTGCGTCCTTGCAAACGTTCGGCCGTCGCTGTGAGCTGGAACCGCTTTGCTGTTGCTACCGAGTGCAGCCTCTGTTCAGTTGCTGAATAGGGCCCTCTACAGACAACGTACGGGCAGTGATGTCGCGCGTGGTTTGTGGGGTGTAGGCATCTGGTGCTGGCAATGCGTGGACAAGAGCCAATTGTAGCCAGGTCGCTTCCGAAAGATCGCTTTATAGCCCCGTGGGCCTTAGCTGGTAAAACAAATATATTAAAAAAAATATTCTTTGAAATTGCTTGGCAATGCTGCTGAAGAAGGCAGAAATGCATAGATTCACAATGAGACTCGCATAGAGACCCTTAGAATCACACAGAGATCTATAGATTCACATCCAGACACCGTAGGCACGCATAAAGACCCATAGGCTAACACAGAGATCTATACTAAGAAGGCATCATCACAGCAACGCACACCCCGCTACGCTTGATGCGATTATCTGGCTCAGCAACCCAAACGCGAGATTGCATTCGTTGCCCTGACATTAACGTCAGCCACACGCAGATGAACAGCGCGTGAAAACGTACTCTGAAGACGACCAAGAATAAGTCGTCGCTCAAAACATTGCCGATTTTTCTTTCTTAATTGTAAGGGTCACAGTGATTACTTAGACGCCGTTTCAGGAGCGTTGTAACGTCTGAAACGCTGCTGTAGTCCGGGGTGACTACGAGTCGCGCTGCAGACTGCGACATTTCCGCGTTATGCTTAACACGCAGTCGGCTTTCGCGACCATAATGCTCTCCATATAATAGGGGTCCGTTGGGTTTTCATCGCGTACATATATAAATGCGTCTTTAAACCCGCCACCACCCGGCACAGCCAATTAGTAAGGTTTGTCACGTGAACAAAACCGTGACAATTCGTTACCAATACACTACAGCACACCGATGCGTTGGAGAGTAAACCCACAAATGTTTGTGTATTGTAAATGTTGTGGCTTTACTGTCCAACACACCGGTGTTGCTGTACTAGTAACGAATAGACATGTATTATTTGCGTGACGAACCTTACTAATTGGCTGTGTCGGGTGGTGACACATTTACGCGATCTAACCCAAAAAACCTCTTGTATATTTTCACGTTTGCTGAAAAGTTAAAACCGATTTCCTGCTCGAATGAGCATCGTTGTTGCGCATCTCCTCTCTCACAACCCCCGAGCCAGTAGTGTAAATTCCACATTTCTATGGCGGGAGGGGGCGTGGGGGGGGGGAGGTTGACTCAGCCAATCATCATCATCATCATCTCTCGAAGGTCAATAAAAATGAGTGCCAATTTGTGGGAGGAGTCAAAAAGCGGTTGTCCTCAGGATAGACTCCCACCACAACCAGGATGTGAACTCGCAAAGCGTCCGATTGCGAGCCACTCCGCTCTCTCGAGGCGAGCCACCTGGCCGGATGTGGCCGCTCGTTTAAACGAATGCGTTGAGCAATGCGGATTACCGCGACTAACGGGGGTAATGCCTATGCGTGTTCGAATGATTAACCTTGAATTTTTTGTTGGTGTGTGTTTGTTTGTTTGTTTGCTTCCGCTCCACCGTTTTTCAGCGCCCGAGTCCTTAGTGCCGTACGTTCGCATTCATTTGAAGAGCCTGCCTATTAAAGTTCTGGGCATCACAGTAATAAACGTGCGTGAAAATGTACTTTTTTTTTCATCTTCAATGCTGGCTGAGGTCATTAGATAAGGGAGTGCACTCAGGCCATGAAGCTTATCAGGGCCGGTTTGTTATCATCTGACTTGTCGGGTATAATTATTAATTACAGCTCTTGAAGCAAATAGCTGGCTCTCCACGGCGTTATTTTATTATTATTATTTACTGGGGTTTTGATCGTATAACTGGAGAGAGAAAATTATTTACTTTAATCACTTTTTTTTCATCTCTCAATCAAAAAGCTCAAGACATCCTACGTTCCAACAAAAAATTGTCACTCAATGTTTCCATCGCAATTCAAAGCGAGGAGACGGTGTAGCGTTCTTTTAATAGCCACAGATAAACAAACCAAATTAAGTGGTTTCTGGATTTTGTTTTCTTTTCGTGTAAGTGATGTTAAATTATGTGTATGTAACGTGTGTTATTTTGCGTAACAGACATGTTAATACATTATCGACATTTTTCTCCAGTCCAAATGTTCAGAAATTTCTTCCTGAACGTCTCTTGCGCATAACTTTTGGCGGACGCGATGGCACCGACTTTGGGACGTGGCAGTTGGAACTTGCGTCGTGGAACCTCAGTGTGGCCGTGAAGGTTTAAAAATAAATATATATTTATTTACTTTGGACAATATTTTTTCTAAATATCCTATATTTCATCTGTCGGTGTTGTTCGTCCATCGTAACCGATGAGGAACCATGACATCAGTACAGGGTGAGAGGGCTTGTTTGGTGAGTCACAATCGGGGCGTCAATGACTCAGATGCTCACGTGGGACTCACGCGACTAGAGGGCCTTGCGCCCAGTGCCGGATTAAGCTAGTGCGGGGCCTGTAGCCTATGTTGTTATGAAGGGGCTTTAACTAAAAAAAACTTGCATAGTAAAGTAATTCTAATTTTTCATTTGATATACAGCCAGATAATACGACAGATCGCTCACCTTACGAACTTACTTGGCCTCCTCTCGGCCACGGCGATTCCTCCTCTGCTCACATCTTTTGTCGAGAGCTTGAATGGCTGCACCAATGTCGACCGAGTCGAATGTTGTTCTGGTGTATAGTTTTCACAGTCTACAAAGGCCTGGCACTATTGACGCAAACATTCGCTCGTATGTTCCAGTGTCCCATTTAAAATGTGCACGGTATGCGTTTAATGGTAGAGAAATATTTCCAAAACCCATCGTGCTTTTGTGGTTGGTTGCCCGATATATATAAAAAAATCCAGTAGTTTAAAAAAATGACGTGAGTACAATAAGAAACGAGTCAGTCTGTACATTTTCAAGCTAGTGATTGTTAATCTTCCCAGATGACTATGTGTGTTGAACCTCTTTCGCACCGTATGCAGCCAACCGTGCTAATCGAATAGAAGAATGTCGAGGCATCATTCCACGATCGCCGTATTTTTATTTCAGTGTAAAACGTTCAGTGAACCGGTCCGCTCAGCACGATATTCCACTTTGTACGTAAAGTTTTTTTTTTACGTGTCACACATTTAGCTTCATCTTTTCAAGCAAGCGACGAAATAGCAAGATACATGGACTTGGCACGGTTGTGACATTCCGAGTGCGCCTCGCATTTATTATGCAACGCAGCTCATCATCATTCATCATCATCACTCGGCCGTGATCATTCCACTGCTGAATTACGGCATCCCCAAGCTGCCACCATGTGCGGTAAACAATCTACCCAGCGTCGTGCAATATTACACGTAGCAATACATCGTTAAGCTTTAATTAACGAGCACAGCATATCAATTGTCTGAGCCGTTATTCAAATGTAGAATTGCTTTTGTGGAAATCGGGCCAATATTGAAACGTGTATCATCATCATCAGCCGTCATCAATCCACTGCTGGATGAAGGCCTCCCCAAGCCGAACCACCATTCCAGCACGGTCCACGCGATGCAGAGCTCCACCAAGGCTGCTTGAGCAACGAGCCGACCCCCTGCATCGCTCCATCGCCCGAATGAAAGGCGTCCTGGCGGGTGTGTTGGGGAATGTGTACGAACACGTGGAATGATTTTAAACAAGAGAAAGGAAGCACCGTGATTGTGTGTGTGTGTGTCTCTCCCTGTGTGTGTGTAGCGCAGCGGTTAGAGTGCTGCGATACAAAACCCGCGTTCGATTCCCGCTCGCGGCCAACGCCAGCGACGATTCTCTTGAATCCGTCCTGGGCATCCACTAGGTCGACTCAGCCTCAAATAGGTGCCTCGTGCGGTGTGTTAGTAAACATCGCCACTGGGAAGACAAAAGGCAGTAGTCGGGCGTGGTGCTGGCCACCCACCTCCACGTGTGCCGTGCCGGCCTTCATATGGTTGCTACCCGCTATCAGCACTTGCCCCAACAGTCTGTTACAGGCTATATTGGGGGGGGGGGGGGGGGTCTTTGTGTTTTCACACAATATGGTTTTCGATACAGCGTACAAAATATATTATAACGAAGCCCGCTATTACCAACCCGTTTTTTTTCTCTTCGGGAGGGGGTGGGGGTGGGGGGGGGGAATGGCGAATAATTGTATATAATGTCTTTTGATTAAAATGAAGACAGTCTACAGACGTACAGCGCTCAACATGAAACGCTCTTTGTCGCACGCAGTGGAGGTGCGCGTGTGCTGAGCAGAAATCAGAAAAAAAAACCTTGTTAGCAGATGGTCCCTACGGGGTTTGAGAAGTGTCTTTTGTAAAAAAAAATGAATCTACCTTCGTCTACAATGCAGCCGTTGCTTAAAAAAAACTCTACGCATGCAGCATATTTAAAATTAATCGCAAAACTGTCTTTGTTATTTTTTGTCCGGTTTTATGGAACAGCTTCAAAGAAAATGAAACACTCAACGCATTCCGTCAATGACACCGTTGTGAGTGGGCGTATAAGTGGGCGACGTTTCGGGAAATGACCCGTCTTCATAGCACATCTCTGGGTCGTCTCCGTGTGCTTGTTGAATAAGGAAATTCGCCTGAAACGTCACATATTTAATATGTATGTTTTGGTTTCCTGTTTAAGGCCACAGTGCTATTTACGAATGTGTTGAGCTTTGTTGTTGTTTGATGAGTCACAATCGTAGCGCCACCCCCCCCCCAAAAAAAAAAATGTCTTCAAACTTTACAATAGCTGCTTTGTATATTGTACATGCCTCTATGTATATATATACATACAAACATATATATATAACGGATAGGGCATTAAACAAACACTCTCTGCGTATGAAATTAACGATGTGCTGTCCGGCTAATGGGTTATTATATTATTTTAGGTCACCGACAGGAAAGCTCTCGCATCGTGCGGCGTTGATCAGATTTCTTTTTGTTTGATTCGCAACTCCGGATGATGTTTATTTATTTAATTTCTTTTCGGACACAAACCACCGAGCAAACACTTTGAAGTGGTAGTAATTACAGAAAACCAAAATTTGTCTCCACCACCGCCACCGCCCTTCATCTGTGCTCGCGTGGGGGGTGGCGGTGGTGGGGGGTGCCTGGGGGGGGGGCTGAGTGGGGGAGAGAAAAAAGAGGATACATGAATTTTGTTTTAATCATAAGAGAGGTGTGTGGGGGAGGGAGCGTTTGCCTCCCCCCCCCTAACACCCCCCACCCCTGCCTCCTCTCCACGGCACCGGTAAAGCATGGGGGTGGGGGTTGTTGTTGGTGGGAGGGGGGGGCACCCTCACGTTTTGTGCCCCAACACTTGCCGAGATCAAGGCGCTTGTCTCTCCAGACCGCGGCAATAATGAGTGGTCGCTCCTTAAGGCAACCAAGGCCCCCTACCCCCAGCCCGGGGTAACTGTCACTCCGCGTCGCGAGATGCCCCAGAGCGCGAGGAGAAATCATTAAAAAAAAATGTTGTTCAGGGCCTTACCCGAGTCAATCAAATGTGTGTGGTGTGTAGTGTACTGTGTGTGTGTGAGAGAGAGACCAGCCCTCATTACAGGAGCCCCCTGTCCTGTGTTGTAGCACTAAAGGACACAGCCAGAGAGGGTCATTTGTCTGAGGATTTTATATATATATAAATATATAGAAAACAAATGTGCGCACACGCGCGCGCCCGCTCTCTCACGGACGATACGTGCGCGTTTTATTTTTGTGTTTATTTATTTTTTTATTGCAACCCTTGGACGGTCTTGTTGTGTGCGAGGCATCATTAGGCCGTAGTGTAACAGTCCAAGGGTGCGGAGATCGCGAGGTGGAGTGTTGTTGTTGTTGTTGTGTGTGCGTGTGTCTCGCGTCCACTCTGGTCACCCTCATTAAAAACACCAGCATCAAATGATCGGGCCAACTTTTGGCTTCTGCCTGCCTTTTTATCTGCGTTGCACGCGCACGCACGCGCGCGTTCGCGTGCGTGATTGCGCGTGTGTGTGATATGTCTTGGAAGAAAACGAAATATATTTTCGTCCAAAAACAATAAATATTTTTTTTTTTATCCCAGCCTGCGTCAGTGCTGGGGAATTGTTCTCGCTCAGGGATGTCTTAGCTGCAGGATGATATTGTTTTCAACACTCGGGCGTGGGTAAGTTGTGAGTCTAAACGGATCCGAGAGACCCGCCGACCGGGGAGACGGAGCTATGAAATCCGTTTATTTCCTGGTGCTCGGTGGATTGTGATGTCTCGGGGTAGATAGAGGTGGCGGCTGTTTGGTTGGGGGGGGTAGGAGGTTTTCATCCAGCAGTGGATATGTAAATACAATGCAATGATTCGACACATTTAAATTTGATTTTATATAGGTGCCTAAGCAGGATGGCATTTCAAGATACTTCAGTTATTTATTTTATAGACGGAATGCACGGGCATAAGAAGAGCAAACACATCACGTTATTGAGTTTGGACCTGAATAGAGGCCACAGAGGTAGGGAGTAGACATCACGGATGGCTGTGGGATGGAGTTCCAGGCAGCAAATGGGAATGATTAATTAACATCCCACCAATCCGAGAGATTCCATGAATTTTCACGATTCCGGGGTTGCGATCGGATTGAAATACTCGGATGTATGCGGGATCGTTTATACCGTCTTGTCTGTATCGGATTCTTTTACATATAGGTGAAGCAGTGGCTGATGATGATGATGACGACGACGACGATATATATCGTGTCTGCAAATGTTTCGTGGCAAAACAACGTCATGTGATGATTTTGAATGTTATATATGTTTTTTTTGTACGCGGTCTCTGCGTGGCCGGCAGTGAATGCACCGTCGTGGGCATGGGCAGGTCGAGTATATATGATTATTATTATATGTGGTGATGTATATGTTCAGTCGGGAGGAGGATGAAGGTTGCGTGGCGTCTGCGGATTAACGCTAAGGCATTCACGGCTGCAACCGGGGGTGGTTTTGGATGTTGAACCCCCACGACCACCACCGCCCCCCCCCCTCGCCTCCACCCCCCCAACTTCATGGTGAACGTGAGTTGTAGGACTTTCACGAGGGGTCCTGCTGCTGCTGCTACCTGAGGAATTTTATTTATTTATTTTGAAAGATGTTTTCACCCAATCGACGACGAGTCGCTTTTATTCTAATTCCACGTGGGAGGAAATCTGGGCACCCGGAGGAACAAACCCCCCCCCCCCCTCGCACGTGCGAGGAAGAGGGACAACGCTTTATCGCCACCGCACCTGCGATTAGCACGGTGTGAAAGCAGCTCAACATACATACACACGTACGGATGGAAGCAGATGGAAATTGGTTCACACTTTGCTTGTTAATGCCCTCCCCCGAGCGAACCAAGCCAGGAAACGGCACCCCCTCGGCGCCAACCCACGGGGCTCGAAGGGAGTTTCGCACCAACAACTGTTGCGGTGATCCACTAACCCTCGCTGCTGCCCGTCGAATTACAGGCATGGCATACGAATGCAGACATGACGGCGATACACTCGGCTGCTCCTGACGCGGTTATCTGGCTTGATCACCTGAAATGTGACACTGCGGTGTTTGCTCTGCATCTGAATCATCAGCCGTGCGAAAGAAGCAGGCAGACAAGCCACGTGCAGCAGCAGCGGAGCAGCCGCCACCGCTACCACCCGGCGATCCGTGGCCGTGGCATCGATTACACCGCTGACTTAAAAAAAAAGCAACAATGAAAAGTGTGGCCGTACTTTTCAGGGTGCAAGGCCATTCCTGCTGTTTTGCGAGCGACAGCAAATGCACCTCACCCGTACAGTCTATTAACAGACTGTTGGGGCAAGTGGTGTTAGCGAGTACCACCTGATGAAGGCCGGAGCGGCACACGAGGCGGAGTTGGTGGCCAGCACCACGCGAAGGACATCACCAACACCATCATCACCACCATCACCACCACCATCATCATCACCACCACCATCATCACCACCACCATTATCACCACCACCATCATCATCACCACCACCATCATCATCATCACCATCATCATCATCACCACCACCACCATCACCACCATCATCATCACCACCATCATCATCACCACCACCATCATCATCATCACCACAACCATCATCATCACCACCACCACCATCACCACCATCATCATCACCACCATCATCATCACCACCACCATCACCACCATCATCGCCACCATCAACACCACCCCCACCACCATCACCACCAGCACGCCGCCTTTGCGCGTGGCTGTGTCTGCTTTCTTTCTCCCTCGTCGCCTGCACCGCGCGATCTCTGGGAGCCGCGGTCTCTCGGCCACGCGGCCCCCCTCTCGAGGCCACCGCCGGCCACTTGAATCGCCGCGCCGCCACTTGGGATTGAGGGAGCCGTGCGAGGGGCTCCATTAGCGCCAACTCGCTCGCTCGCTCGTGCGTGCGCGCGCACGCGTGTGTCTGTGTGTGGGGCGCGCACGCGCGTGTGTCTGTGTGGGGCGTGTGTGTGTATGGGTCGCGCGGGTGTGTGTGAGTCGCGCGGGTGTGCGTGGGGCTCGTGTGTGTGTGTGGGTCGCGCGCGCGTGTGTGTGTCGCGCGCGTGTGTGTATGGGTCGCTTGCGTGTGTGTGTGGGTCGCGCGCGTGAA